TTTGTAAAACTGGAAAAGTCTGAGAAATTACTTTAAAAAGTGAAAAATAGTAAGAAAAGTGACGTTGTTTTACCTTGTTTCTAGTGTTAAAAGTAGTTAAACGTGTTTCTTGCTCACTTTTTTTTATGTGAGTGGCCACTGTTCGGAGTGGGTTTTTTTTGTTGCTCTTTCTCTTTTCTCCTTCAAATAAAAATTCAAAACATGAAAGACATAGAAAATGTATAGTTTCTTCAATGGTGCTTCTTTTGTAAGAGCAACTTAAATCAATAAAAATTTTTTTTGAGACAAAAAAAGCTTACCCACCTCTTACAGCGTATGTTATGCATGAAAAAAGTCCGTTGTTAAAAAATTACTGTTTAGGAGAAAATAGGACACTTCGACTCGAGGGTGAGGGTGTGAGGGTGGGGTGAGGGTGTAAATTGTATTGGGTTGTGTAATGCTTTACAGCGACAACAACGGAAAACCTCAATAATGATGGTCACAGCCAGAGCTACCAGCTTGGCTTGCAGGCAGGTCAGACTCAATTGTTTAGCGTGGGTATGCTCTAATATTAACTTTTAAAGCATTCAACTGTAAGACTGAGACGATTTCATATCTCAATGATGACTTCTTTTTATATTTTCTGTTCATCATCAATCCAAATCAATACTTTTATACGTTTTATAAGGTCTGTTGATCGTGTTTTTCATTCTTTATTCCTGGTTTCTCAGATATTCAGAAGTTTTAAATATTTTTGGATTTCTTCCTATGATACAACGCAGTTACTTTAATTTCTAGCTCTCTGTATGTCAAGACTATTCAAATGCTCCTTACTGATTCAATATTATACTAAGGTATACCATGGTACTCAGTTAAAGGGTTTCATGATTTCAAGAGTCAATATAAATTAGAATGCAATTTAAAATTTCGTTTAATGAAAATGATGGAGAACCAGGTTCTGTCTACTTGTAAAATTATGGTGTGAATAAAATTATTTTACTCTAAGATTAGGAAGAGTTTCCAGCTAATTTTGAGAAATTTTCATTGGTGCATATTTGAGATTGAAGATATCTTACATATTACTAAGTACTTAAGAAAATCAATAGTTTCCATATCTACGCAGTTACATTTTTATTTCAAAATAAAATTAAAATATGTTAACATAAATTCTTGAATTTCAATATCTCCTTCATTGGCTACTTGTTTGAAAGTGTTTCATTTCAAAACTCAGGTGCATATTTCTGTGTCAAAGATTTTCATAAAGCTAATCTTAAAGTAGTTCATGACTGGTCTGAGTTGAGAATTGACTTACTACATTCTAGTGCTCTCATGAAAACAAATTGGATGACCAATTGAAACTTATACAGTGAATTAATGCTAATTTGTAAACTACATAATTATAAAAGCTTTGAAACATTAGTTTGCTTGGTTTGACCTACAGGCTCACTTTTGAATTTTAGCCAGGCCAGAATGAAAAATGTGGCCTGTTGGCAGCTCTCGTCACAACCACATACTGAGATGCAGTCATACCTTGCACTCTTTAATGTCTCATCTACAGCCCAGAATTAAGTTTGAAAAATATAAAACTGGAGTTATTTCGTACTTTGTATCTCTAGCCGAGGTGTATTCTGTTGTATTTCTGAGGAAAAATGCAGAATAAAATGTTGATTAATAATTATTATTGTCGAAAATCTAACGGAATTTTGACAATTATGGAAATTCGACATTGGCCAAATTCGATGATGAAACTCCATCTTACCACGAGGATACCAGGGATACGAACTGGATACAATGGGGATACACAGAATAGACGGAAGTACAGAGGATATTACGAAAAGATAGAAGATATAATGGGTTGCAAAGGATATGAAATGGATACCGAGAATGCCAAAATTAAATTTTCGCCTTGGTGAAAAATGATGGCGTTTTATATACTGAAGAAGATAAGCAGAAGTTACCACTTTTTGTTCTATACTATTAGACTCGACCAACGATTTTGCGTATGTCAAGAGACCGTTCAATGAAGAAAACTGTCAGACACGAAGACATTTATATTGTTATCTTTCTGAAATTAAATAATTGCATCAAATAAAATCATATACTTGCTCAATATTGAAATCTGTGATGAAGCACATACAAAATTTTTCGTAATCAATAAGATCTATTTATCTGAACTGAATAACCAGCGTTCTCATCGAATATATCGTATGCATTTTATATTTTCTTCATTTTATCAGATTATATCCTCTGTGTCCTCTATGTATCCTCTGTATCTCCATTGTATCCTCTGTATCCCGATCGTATCCTCTGTATCCCCATTGTATCCTCTGTATCCGGGATAGACGGAATCCGCTTTTTCCCCTTGAGTTTAACGCTTTCTGTTGTTAGGTTTAATCATGATATATGTTTGAAATGCTACTTTATTCGTTTGCGAACTCACTGGGAGATTACTTAAACAAAATATCCGACCTGATAAATTCAATGAGATCTTATCCTAGAATACTAATATATTGGATTTCACCTTTCTTGTATAATATTTTTATCTGTTTATTAGAATTGAAATAGATGTTGCTGAAGCTAATTATTGGAATAGTTGTAAAAAATGTTTAATGAACCTTGGTATTGCTTACAAAAGAACCATATCAAGTGATTAATCGTTTTTGCGTTCGGACTCTGCATAAGGTCGGTTCTGATGAGGCGTGACAAATTAAAGATGGATACATGCCCTCAGACTTTTCTTCCAAGGTTAGCGCCATTTTAAGCAAATTTACAGCTACGACATCGTATATACCAATAAATCGTATTTCGACATGATCTTTGATCCACAACTAGATTAACTTGTGATTAATGTGCCCTGAAAATTTCAGCTTCAAAGAATATGTTCTTTTAGAGATATGGAATTTTCAAAATATCACTCGTATCTTACGAATCTTAGATGTTTTAAAAATTCAATATCTCGTGAAAGAAATATCTTTTGGGCTAAAATTTTCAGGACACACTAGTCACAAGCAAACCTATCTGTGAGCTAAAGTCTAAGTCGAAATATTCTCTATCTAATTTCTTGATGCATACCATGCCATATTCGAAGATTCGCTTAAAATGACTGTAAATCTTCAGGGAATGTCTAAGTGAATTGATCTTTCTAGACCGTATCATGTATCACCGATATCCATGCTATTAAGAGGTTACGAACTCAAAAAGAATTTTTTCACTTGAAATGGTTACTTTGTTAGAATGCACCGGACGTAATAATTCCAGTCCCATAATATTACGTAGATGCTTTGAAGGAAACTTCTCTATATATATATATGCAATGCTCTAGATGTCTTTCATAGTTCACCATTGTTTAATGGTCGCTCAGAATAGTTCGTACTAGTACATCAGAAAGTGATAACGTAATGATTGCCATTAATAAGATAATAAAGTTATTTTATATTTTCAGATGTTGTCTCAGTGACAGGATTATCAAGTCGTAAATCATCTTTAATCTCTTCTCGATCTTCATGAAATCATATCAATCATATTATTTTAGCTTTTCTACAAAAACCTAGTTATTGACAACAGACCATAAATTTCTATGAATTTTGGTTAAAAAGCAAACGCAGCACACAATTTAATATAGAAGCGAAAAGTTTTCATATCTAATTAAAACGAAAGATAAAAAAGCTTTCATTGAAATTTTATTATTATTATTATATCGACTGAAGAATAATGAAATATCAAAGAAATGAAAAGTATTGAGTTCAGTATAAATATATGCATATTAAGAGCAATTCTCTTCCAGTTCTCTATACAAAATTACAGCGCGAATATAATTACTTGTGTTTAATACTCTAACAAGGAATAGTTTTCAAGTGTGAATCGTTGATTGAGTTCTCGTTTTACTTACAATCGGAGGCAAAAGTTTAAGCGAATTATTTTCTTTCAATTCTTTTTACGCATTTGTTTTTCCATTTTTCTGTCATATGAAGAGGTATTGATATGATTGAAGTGGTAGCATAGATAGTGAAAGAGACCGCCTATATGATGTAGTATTGGAGAGAACTCCATCTGTCTATATAAATTTTTATAATTGAAATATCCTTTTTTAGTAAAAAAGAAGTTTTAGCATTTTCTAGTCAAGAGATTTATGTTAAAAGGAAAAAGAATACACCAGTCGATAGAGAATTTCACACTCTATTAGTTTCTTTAAAAAGAGTTGCGTTCTCAGGGTTAGTCTTCGCCTAAAAAATTTGACTTTAATGAGAATCGATGGAAGAAAAATGGACAATAATAAACTTAGTTCCTACATATTTTCTCTTGTCGCAATGTATTATACACTATTGGAACGAGCATGCAAACACGAGTAGCTTTTTTTAATTATATTTACGAAAAAAAAACAGTCAGTTTCTCTTTTCACTATTCTCTTTAGAATAGGATTTTTGAAGTGAAGACTAACTTTGAGAACGGAACGTTTTTTAAAGAATCTGATAGAGCGTGATATTTCCCATCGACTGACCTATTCTTTTTCATTTTTACGTAAACCTCTTGGTTAAAAAATGTGAAATATTGTAGTGTTAAAACTTATTTCAGGTTAGAAAAAATTATTTTAATTATCAAAAATCTATATATTCAGATGGAGTTCTCTCCAATATGATATCATATAATTGGCCTCTCTCACTATCTATATCACTACTTCAATCGGGTCAGTAGCTCTTCATGTGAAAGAAAAATTGAAAGAAAAAAATTCACTCCAAGTTTTTTTGCCGATTATATATATATATATATAATTGTATACTATTTATACATAAACTACTATTGATTGTATTGAAGAATAAACCGACAACTTCGAAAATATAATGTAAAATTTCAACATCTTAATGTTTATATCAGCACAAACCTTTGTTAACCTGTTTTTTCTAGGTCTTTTTCATTATCCGATTTCTCTAGCTGTTTCTATGGATTTAACCATTTAATATAAAAAAGAACATCTGGTGAAAAAAAAGCAGTAAATCAAAAACAATAATTAAAACTAATTATATTTAAGCTGATACAAATCGATCAATAAGATCAAATGCAGCTCTTGGTTGATCGGCTGGTACCATATGACCAGCATTTCGAACCCAAGCAACATAAAATGAATGTGCTTGTTTTATATAACCAGCTACTTGTTTATCATCATCTTTAACTTTCCAAATTTTTCGTTCAGCACTTC